TCTTTTCTCATAGACATGATTCTTTTTCAAGGATCGACTTTGTTTTGATATCGACTGATTTACTTATAGAATGTAACAAAACTAAAATTTTTCCTAGAACCTTGTCTGATCATAGTATGGTTTGGATGGAGATTGGTCAAAAAATAAAGAGGAAATCCTGGAGAATAAATGAAAATTTGTTTAATTATGAGGATAAGGTTAAGGCTTTGAAGACAGCTATGGAAGAGTTCTTCCAACTTAATATGCATAAGGAGACTTCTACAAATATTGTCTGGGATGCTGGAAAGGCTTACTTAAGAGGAATATTAATTGCTATGAATAATGCCTATAAACGTAAGCAAACCCAGATCAGACTTAACTTGGAAAAAGAAATCGGGATGAAGGAGAAATTGTTACTACAACGACCAACAGATATTAATCTAAAAAATTCTATTAAAATGCTTAAAGATCAATTTAATTTGCTAATTGCAGACCAAGTGGCCACCAACTTGAAGTACATTAAACATAATATATTTGCTAATGCAAACAAACCTGGGAGGTGGTTGGCCTACCAAATACGCAAAAGACAAAAAGCCAGACTTATATCTAAAGTTTTGGTCAAAGAGCGTGAAATTCATCAACAGGAAATGATTAAAAAGGCATTTACTGAATTTTATTCACATTTGTACTCATCAGAAATTATAAATAGTAAGGATACTGATAAATATCTACAATCTTCAACTATATATAAACTTACACAGGAACAGCAGAAAATTATGGATGGTGAGATTACAACAGATGAAATCTTAAATGCAATCAAACAACTGAAAGTTGGCAAAGCTCCTGGGACGGATGGATTAACAGCAATTTATTATAAGTCCTTATCAGCTACACTGTTACAACCTTTAAAAACTTTATTCAATAGAATTATGTTGGGAGAACAAATACCTCAATCATGGACAAAAGCCTTTATATCTTTGATACCGAAAGATGATAAAGAAATTTTGGAACTTAAAGACTATAGACCTATTTCTTTGTTGAATGTGGATTATAAAATTTTTGCAAAAATCTTGGCTAATAGATTGATGCAGATACTGCAACATTATATACACGATGATCAAACTGGCTTCATAGTTGGGAGGTACATGAAGAATAATATTAGGCAAATTGTAAATTTATTGGAATATTTGGACAAGAATAATCAAATACCTTCGGCCTTTATTTTTCTTGATGCAGAGAAAGCCTTTGACAAATTGGAATGGCAGTTTTTACATAAAGTCTTGGACTATATGAACTTTGGAGATCAATTTAAAACAGCTATAAAGGCGATATATCAAAAA